CTCTCTCTTCATTTCTTTAATTCATTCATGTATTGATCACAAGAAAAGTCTTTCTATTAGCAAATATACAGTTATCTAAAAATCCATAGTTTTTTAGTATAATTTTGTCTCTACTTTAGGAAAACACTTATTAATTATATTTAAAAACAATGCTTTAAAAATAAAAGTGTTTAATAATTGTTTTAATACATATTAATTAGAATAAATTAAATATAATAATTTTAATAATTGCACATTTAAGCTACGGTATATACTAATTAAAGTAATTTAAATATTACTTAAAGCAAGTTTTATTAAAATTTTTTGTAGTAATTTTTTGTGATTATAGTTGTGGCGGATTTGTTTTGTTCAATAAATTATAATAATTTTGAATTTTGTAATAATGAGTGACAAAGTTTGCAGCGTTTGTGGCGATCGCTCCGTCGGTATGTTTAATAATGTTGTAAAATTAATTTTATTAATTGATTGGTTAAATATCCGAATTTATAAATAGGCTACAACTTTGAAGCCCTAACGTGTGAGTCGTGTAGGTCATTTTTTCGTAGAAATTCAACGCGTGTTGAGGTATACAGAGTTGGATATGAAATGATAATAAGTTTTGTAACAATATGTTTGTTTAGGAATTTATCTGCTTTTTTGATAACAATTGTAATATAAATCGTTTGACGCGAAAATTCTGTAAAAAGTGTAGAATTAATAGATGTTTTGCCGTTGGTATGAAAAATGTGCGAAAATTACAATATATTAATTATTTTAATAAAAAATATTAACAATTTATTTGTGGAATATTTAGAAAACAAATGCATACAAAAGGTATCGACGATTACCTGATGAAGAATCTCAGTGTTTGGATATAATGGTATCAAATGATTCAATTGAGAGTAACATAACGGATACAACAATACCAGCGATGATCAGAGGATTTATATTCAATTTAAACGAGTTAGAGATTAACAAATTTAAGGAGTTATTCAATTCAGTGAGTATTGTAAGGAACCATAAGCTCAAGTCTATAGAGTACGAGACGGTGTGTGCGTCCGAAGCGTTTCATGTGTTGGTAAACGGTGTGGATCTGATGTTACCGCGAATGGCAAGGATTTGGCCACAAATTACTGGATTCAATGAGTTGTGCGAAGACGACAAGATTGTCCTTCTGAAGACCTCCTGCCCTCAAATCATGACTTTGCAAAGTATTATGCTTTTCGACTTCGAGGGCCAGTTCTGGACGATTCCTATTGTATTTCATTATTATATTTTTAAACATTTTTAAATGTACTAAAATTACGACAAGAGTTACTGATAAACCCATATAAAATCTCTCAAATAATAAATGTAGAATAAATTATGGCTTATTTTTCTAATATATTTTTTTTAATTTTCTGTAAAATTGTTAGAATGAAGAGAAGGCAACTCTACTGTCAATAAATGTAATGATGGGTTGGAATCAAACATTGGCTACAATTCATCAAAAATTTATGTATTGTTTGAGAGATGAATTCAACGATGACATGAATTTACTCGATTTGGTAGTATTTTACATATTTTTTATAATGGAAATAATATATATTTTTTGTTTGATTCAATATAGCTCACAGGCATTGTATTATTTAGCCCAGACCTACCAGATATTGTTCATAAGCATAATGTAAAGTGAGTAGGATTAATTTATATTATATTTTATATTTGTTATAATTTATTAATTGTCTTATAGATTACAACAGAAGACATACATGTATTTACTTCAACGGTATTTAGAGATTAAACACAATTCAAAGTCAGAATCGGAGACACGTTTCAGGAGTTTAATGAATTGTCTGCAAGTGTTGTATGAATTAAATTGTTTATTTCGTGAACACATTGAAAACTCAATGATTTTACCAAATCGTGTGACACCTCTTGTGCACGAGGTATTTGAGATTAAAGCATCAAATTGATCATGGTTATAGTATTATACTTATTTACAGAATATTAATTAATTTTGTTAAGCTTTTTGCTTTAAGCGTCTATTAATTATATTTGTAAATAACATGGATTTTAAATAATTTTGAGTAATATTATAAAGTTAATATATTACTTATATTTATATGTACTTTATAAAATTTTAATTGTGTAAATTGATGTAAATACAATTTCGCTTCACGATTTCATCACAGTATTGAATAACACAATAAATTTAAGTTTTATATTGAAATTAAATAAAAATAGTAATTTTTTGACTGCATTTTGCTTCAAAATGTTCTTAAAATAGATATAATTAAAGTACATATTTTACACATTTGTACAAATGATTAGTTAAAAATCTATAATAAATATTACTGTTATTTACCTGTATATTATAAGTTATACCTTATCGCCTGTTAGTAGTTTTAGTTTTCTCTCTCTCTCTCTCTCTCTCTCTCTCTCTCTCTCCAAAATAATTATTGTAAAACACTTATGAAAGCAAATATAAATCTATTTAAAAATTAATCGTTACATTAGTGAACATTTGTTTTTATTAAATTGAAACACTTATGATAAATTATGTTTAAAATGTTGTAACATTACAATTAATTGTTGTAAATGAAAATGTTTTGTTTGGTATGACATATGAAAACATTTGAAAAATATGCATTAATTATAATAACACTTATGATCTGAAGTGTTATAAACTTCATAATATAAAGTATGTGAAGCCATTTAAATATTGATTCAATATATTGAGTACCATTAACTATTATTAAAGTTAACTAATAATTATAATACTGTACTTATAATTATTGTCATAAAGATTGTATTGTGTGAAACTAATTGACAATAATGTATGAATTTGTAATAATGAACGATAAGGTTTGCAGTGTTTGCGGCGATCGGGCCATTGGTATGTATGAATATACAGTATTATATTTATTAATAGTTAAATATACGGATACATAATAGGTTATAACTTCGGTGCCCTAACGTGCGAGTCATGTAGGTCATTTTTTCGCCGCAATGGCACACGTGTTGAGGTATATAATTACCGATATGTAAAATATAATTTACTAACCCATATGTTTGGACAGGACTTTGGCTGCATTTATGGCAAAAACTGTGAGATTAATGTTTTCAGTAGAAAATTATGCAAAAAGTGTAGAATTAATAAATGTTTTGCCGTCGGTATGAAAAATGTGAGACAATTTTATGGCAATTTGTTTTAAATGATTGGATTAAACATTTATTTTGTTCAATGATTAGAGACGTGTTGTTCCC